CCTTCGATCATTGATCACTTAGAGAGGTAGTATGAATCCTTGTATTTACTCCTCTTTAGATAATAGGCGCAGCCAAGTTCCACTACTGTCGGTTCGTTGAGGTTGTTTTTGCAAATGCAATCTACATAGCGATTGCTATCAAATATGCATTGGGCGTCAACTGGAATGGTGCGGCTTGGAAGTGGTCGAGAATTGACGTAATGTACCCCTCCACCCCACATTTAAAAATCACTTCCGAGATCACAGCCATCCCTTCGGGAGGGTCCTAAGCAGTGTGTGACCTATGTTGGTAGACGTTTACGTTGATCGCAAATTGGTTTATCGCTTTTGTATCTCCTCCTCTATAATTGTTGTTCGCACCGCTAGCTAGGGACCTACCGAGGTACCCCGTGGCCGCAAGCTTCCCTCTCCTATTGTTTTTACCTCAAAAGTGTCCATTGCTCTTAAAGTTTGAAAATGTGCGACATGTAGAGGTGACTCAGTCTCTGTACACATTGCCTCGTACAACAACTTACAACAAGTTCTATGAGAAACTTGGAATGGGCTTAGGGTTTTACTTTTATAAGGAAGAATGTGACGTTTGGTTTCTTTTATACGTGACGATTGGGTGGGACATGTTTCTAGCCATTGATTGTGACCACGTGTCATCAATCTGCACGGAGAGTAACTATCACGCTTCGTGGAAATCAACCAACATTTCCCTTCATTGAAATCGCCAAGCGACGACATGATTATCTCTTCCACATTAAATTCGCCCTCATCTGCGTTTAATGCCTTAAAAGAGAATTTCGTTTCAGCATAGCTTACATTTAATGCTCATGGCTAGCACTTATTGCACAAAGACACGTCTATCAGATAAAGCTTATTTTATTGACTAAGACAACTATCAAGCGCAACAGATAACATTTGAAGATGTCGTTCGAATAAAACACTCTTCTTCATGTGTCAAGCTCCAAGCGAAGTGATTCTTAGTTTTCGACAGTAAAATATCCAAGTGTCTTCAGGTCGCGAATGACAGATAAAGTTCGAAGCACATCAGTATAGCACTAAGTAGGATCCGACATAGGTTGCTGAACCTCTTTGGAACAATCACCTCAGGTCGCTTGTGTAACGCTCGAAGATCCATGTCATGACCTCCATTCGATTCGCTGGTCAAGTTAAGCCGGCATCCTCATGTCGTTTTGGTATTCTCAACTATTAGTTCGGGTAAGTCCTCCTTGGGACAATTTAGGTCGCGACATAATCATGAAGTTTTCAAGATTCAATTCTTTAACCTTAAGAACTGTGGAGCTTCTATTATACCTAAAAAATTAGGGTTGATGTAAGCCTACATCAGCTAGCTCCAATCAGAGTTCAGGAGGGATTTGCGCTATCCAAGAGCTACCATGTCGCCCCAAGACAAAGAGAATACAGCTGTCACCAACTTGGCAGATTTAGGTTTTGTCTATAAGTCAATGGGAGCCACACACTTATCCAAGCCTCAAGTAACTTAAGGATATATCGTAAGTTATCAGCCAATGGGAGGCAAGGAAAGACTTGCACAACACTTACCTATTTGCAGATTTGTAATCATTACCTTGAATTCATCTACCATAAATAAAGGACTCCCCCTTTCATTTTCGGGATTCCGAGACAGAAAGCTCACACTTTGATTGTAATCTATATTTTCAGAGCAAAGATAACCTACGAGAACGAGACTGACTTGATATTCTATCTGAATAATCAGCTGTTGTACCTCTGCTCATTGTTCGCTATACGCGACTTCTTGTAATCTCTCATATATAAAAGAACAATGGACGTAAGACTTGCCTTCAATATCCAAACCACTTTAAAAATTGTCTTTTATTTATTATTTAGTCTTTGCATTGATTATCATATTTATTCACGTGTAATTTCTAAAAGTAACTTAGCACTTTACACATACAAGTCGTTGGTGTCAAAATCAAGCATCAACAATTATGTTATATATAGTTACATGATGAGAATATATAGTGAAATATTAAATGATTAGGTCAAGAGAAAGAAATCAATACCGCCTTAAGATGCAGTCTTGAGATTATTATAATATTTTTAATTAGCTATGGGACAATACATGTCTCTTGTTTGGAAAAGGACAAAAACTCAGGGACAATCAACAAGAGAGCATGGGTTAAGCAAAATAATACGTTAAAAAAAAAAAAAAAATAGGGGGTTGGGGGGCGAAATGTCATATTGATAAACCGAAATTGATGAAGTAAATCACAAATATTAAGGAGCTCATTATTTAAGGAATGCATTCAATAAGGATTTAAATGTTGGCAGTATTAATTAATCTGAGTTTCAAAATTTAAACCAATTTCAAAGGGGTAAATTCACTAACCCGAAACAATGAATATTGAAACCCAATATGATAATCAATGTTCAACAAGCCTAAAATAAATGAATAAGGGTCCATAATATAAAAATATAAAGTTGGCCAGTGTGAGAGATTTAGGAACTTAAGGGCCCAAACATGAGAGGTCTTCCTAGAGAAGTAAGCAGGCCCAAATATGTTTATTGGGGTTTTGATCTTGACCCCTAAAAAGGAAGAAGAATTCTACAAGAAATAAAGAAGAAAGGACATGTTGATTGTTGACATGGAGTAACCAATGTTCTGATACCCAGACCGCCCTTCGGCCTGTCAAGGGGACGGCTCCTGGGTTGATCGGTCCGAACTTTTGGACCGATCGGTCGGATCGGTGATGTCAGCATGTTCAACAGGTTTGAAATCCAGCAAACACTCTAAGCTTATAAAGTCTCTTCTGTGAGACTACTCCCGGCAGAGGCAACATGAGGTATGCAAGTTGTTTGAATGCTCTTACTTTTAGTGTGGGTCAAATGCTTGAATATCTGCACTAATGTCAAAAGTAATTGTTGCAATTGTGTGCACAGAACTAATTGAAGTTGTGATAACATTCAACACGAACGTCACATTAAATTGAGAATATACAGTTTGCTTTTGAAGTTCAATAAATGAACACCACATTAAATGAACTTTTGACTGCATGGCTATCATATTACTATCTTGTGTTGCCTCACTATCCTTTTAAAACAAGAAATGCAGACACTTTACTTGAGAGGTTTATCTTTAAATTTAGCCTACCTGAGAAAAGAAGGCCAATAAATTGATTGTAGTGGTGTTATTAATCATACAAAATATTCAGTACCATCATGGCCATCTATTTTTCATTCTCATTTTTTTTTCTTAAAATTTAGTCCCCTTGTTTTCGTAGAGCAATATAGGTTTAATCTGATTGCTTTCTGTGCATTTTTGTTACAGAGGATGATGTTCGACCTTATACGACATAACAAACCATCTCAAATGCATGATCAAGAAGGAGATTCATCGCTGGATCAGAGCAATATAGATAAAAGATTTGAGATACTAACAGAAGCTTGTGAAGGAAACTTCAAGCTCAAGTCCAGTGTAAAAAGTAGTTCATTGTGACAGATTAAATTGTGTATAAAAGTCCAGAGAAAGAAGAAAAAGGATTACTTATTGTGGGGTAGGGTTTTTGCAAACTGTTCAACCAACCCCCTCTTCCCCTCATGTTTTGCACCATAAACAAGTTAAATTGTTGTGAGGAAAAAAGATGTAAATTCTTTTTAATAGGAAAATATTTTCTATTGCATTCAAAACATCAATATCTTGTCTGTTTCACTTTCTTCATAGCAGATCTTATCATTGTTATAATGCACTTCATTTATCCTTAATTTTTTAATTAATGATTGAAGCTAGCTAGGGGCCCTGCTTGGATTTGCGAATATTCAAATGCAAATGCCTTCATCATTATTCAAAGGCTTCTACTAGAGACTAAATAACAACTATGCTAAAGCAGGAAAGCAATAATGGAGATTGCTTTGGTCCTTCAATGTCAATTTATATTAGAGGGGTCAAATCATATTATTCTAACAAAGTAATGATTTATCACTCAGTGGATTGCATTAGAAATATCTTTTGATGAAATTTTTTTGTGTATAATTATACAACCATAATATTCTAACGAAGGTTGTTTTCTTTTTTTTTTGGATAAACTGATAATTGCCCTTCATGTGACTCGAACACAAAATTTTTTAGTATAATTAACTACAGTGACTATCGCGTTTGTCATATTCAAGAATGCATATAAAAGTATTAATATACAACCATAATATTCTAACAAAGGTTGTTATCGTATGCAATACTCAAGAATGCATATAAAATCTTTTAATATGGACTTTATAATTTTTTAATATGTAAATTATGTTAATTATAGACTATTAAATGATTAAAAGACAAAATATACAATTTATTACGCAAGAAGTTCAGTGAAACTTGAAAAGTTTTCTTTTGTTAGTTAACAATCTAATGGATAAATGAGTTAAACATACTGCTATATATATATATTGAAATAAAAGTATTAATACCATAAAAAAATTTACCATATATATTTTTTTTTTTTTTAGGTAACTAGAGTATCCAAGCCCACACTGGAGTCTGCTTAATCCTTAGGACCACGGAACACTTACATGCCCAATTAACCAAAATAATTACACAAATGTGATAAGTACCTCTCCTACGACTCGAACACACTAGTGACTAAAGGATTTACCATCCAGCTAAAAGGGGAGAGGTAATTTACCAGATTTTATCAACATTAAATGAAAGATGTTGATAACTTATATTTGAGACTATAACATCACAACTACATGTGAAGATTACTTGAGAGTTGAGATAGATCATTGTTCCAGAAACTTGTACTAATAAACAAAAACATATAAAACTGTTGCCAAGCTACTCAGAAAGGCTAATAATTTTAAATGAATTGGTGGCCAACCTAATTAATATATTTTGATGAGAGAATAAGTAAGATTAGTTAAAGTAAGATTAGTTAACAAGAACTACTTCTAAGTGGTCGAGTGGTTCAACCAGGACTCTAATGATTTGTTCGGTGCAGGATAATGAAGAAATTTTTGAAGCGTATGTGAAGTCATGGACTTCTGGTGCCCTTGACAGAGCTGCAACTCAAAAATCAATGGCATTTACACTGGTCCTGCACCACCTTTCATCTTTCGTATTCCTCTTGCATGCCAGTGGTAAGTTATTACTACAGAATAAGCTTGTAAAGTCTCTTCTGCGAGACTACTCCCGACAGAGGCAAGATGAGGTATGCAAGTTGTTTGAATGCTCTTACTTTTAGTGTGGGACAACTGCTTGAATATCTGCACTTATGTCAAAAGTAATTGTTGCAGTTGTGTTCACAGAACTAATTGAAGCTGTGATAACATTCAACACGAACGTCACATTAAATTGAGAATATACAGTTTAGAGAAGCAATTTTTGAAGTTCAATAAATGGTCACCAGATTAAATGAACTTTTGACTGCATGGCTATCATATTACCATCTTGTGTTGCCTCACTATCCTTTTAAAACAAGAAATGCAGACACTTTACTTGAGAGGTTTATCTTTAAATTTAGCCTACCTGAGAAAAGAAGGCCAATAAATTGATTGTAGTGGTGTGTTATTAATCATACAAAATATTCAGTACCATCATGGCCATCTATTTTTCATTCTCATTTTTTTCCCCTTAACATTTAGTCCCCTTGTTTTCATAGAGCAATATAGGTTTAATCTGATTGCTTTCTGTGCATTGTTGTTACAGAGGATGATGTTTGATCTTATCCGATATAACAAACCATCGCAAATGCATGATCAAGAAGGAGATTCATCGCTGGATCAGAGCAATATAGATAAAAGATTTGAGATACTAACTGAAGTTCATTGTGACAGATTAAATTGTATATAAAAGTCCAGAGAAAGAAGAAAATGGATTACTTATTGTGGGGTAGGGTTTCTGCAAACTGTTCAACCAACCCCCTCTGCCCCTCATGTTTTGCACCATAAACAAGTTAAATTGTTGTGAGGAAAAAAGATGTAAATTCTTTTTAATAAAAAAATATTGACTTTTGCCTTCAGAACATCAATATCTTGTCTGTTTCACTTTCTTCATAGCAGATCTTATCATTGTTATAATGCACTTCATTTATCTTTAATTTTTTAATGAATGATTGAAGCTTGCCAGGGGCCCTGTTTGGATTTTGCAAATATTCAAATGCAAATGCCTTCATCATTATTCGAAGGCTTCCACTAGAGACTAAATACCATACTATGCTAAAGCAGGAAAGCAATAATGAAGGTTGCTTTGGTCCTTTAATGTTAATTTATATTAGAGGGGTCAAGTCATATTATTCTAACAAAGAAATTATTTATCACTAGGGAATGCATTAGAAAGATCATTTTATGAAATCTTTTTGTTTATTATTATACAACCATAATATTCTAACAAAGGTTGTTTTTTTGGGTAAACTTGATAATTGTCTCTCTTGTGACTCGAACATAAATCCATGGATATATTTAACAGTAGTGACTAAAGGGCTTGCCATAATCAAGAATGCATATAAAATTATTATTATACAACCATAGTAGTCTAACAAAGGTTGCTATGGTAATGGTATGCATGTCTATGCAATACTCAAGAATGCATATAAAATCTTTTAATATGGAATTTATATACTTGTAATATGTTAATTATGTTAATTATAGTCGATTAAATGATTAAAAAGACAAAATATACATTTTTGTATGCAAGAAGTTCAGTTGAAACTTGAAAAGTTTTCTTTTGTTAGTCAACAATCTAATGGTTTAAAAGGGGATGAAATACGGATAAATGAGATCCTTGATTATATATATATTGAAATAAAAGTATTATTAAAAAAAATAAAAAATAAAATAAAAACCTGATTTTATCAAACATTAAATGAAAGATGTTTATACTTTATATATGAGAGTATAATATGACAACTACATGTGAAGATTTACTTGAGATAGATCATTCTTCCAGAAACTTGTACTAATTAACATAAACATATAAAACTGTTGCCAAGCTACTCAGAAAGGCTAATAATTTTAAATGAATTGGTGGCCAACCTAATTAATATATTTTGATGAAATAACAAGTAAGATTAATTAACAAGAACTACCTCTAAGTAGTCTAGTGGTTCGACGGAGACTCTCAAATGTATTACTCAAGAGATCTTGAATTCGAGTCTCTTCTCGGCTGCTAATAAGGGTAGTCACTGAAATTTTTACTTAGCCGGTAGTTCCAAGGTTCTGGAAGATTAGTTGAGATGCGTGTAAACTGATCTGGAAACTCTAGTCATAAATAAATAAATAAAATAAAAATAAAAAGATTAGTTAACAAGTCGTGAACCATGTTAAACACAAGATTAGCATGCTATAGATCAATGCATTAACTTTAGATAATTTTTACAACTTAATCATGCAAATTGCCACCTTAAATAATGTTGAATTGGAAAGTTAATATGACCCTTTCGATTAAAATATTTAAAGTAAAGAAACTATAATAGATTTCCTACTCATCAGGATCCCACTGAAAACAACTTTCTCTTAACATTTTACTACCATATATTCACGGAGCCAATTGACAAAAATCTTAATCACATTTGTCAAAACACAGAAAGAGAGAGATGGAGGCAACACAAATTCAAGTGAAAAAGGAAATGGAAGAAGAAGCTCAAACAGAAGTAGAAATCTGGAATTACATATTCGGGTTTGTAAAAATGGCAGTAGTTAAATGTGCCATAGAGCTCGGAATAGCTGACGCCATTGAAAACCATGGTGGCCCCATGACACTTTCAGAGTTATCATCAACTCTCAATTGCGCACCCTCAAATCTTCACCGACTAAGATAAAATAAAATATATGTTTAAAGTTATTTGAGACAATAATTTATGTTTTAGAATTGTTATTATATTTTTTATCTTGTAGCACGTAATAAATCATCAACATGGACACTTTTTTTTAAGTCAAAATATTTCTAACTGCATGTTTGGAGTTTCTTAGTATGAAACTTTTAGTATTTCTGTACTATATTCATCCTCAAGATTATCTCTTTCATCTTCTTGTCTAACTCCAGTAATGATTTCTTCTTCAATTAAAGCATACACGGCATGTTGCTCATTTAGATGATTAAGGAATATATTAATATCCATTTGATTAGTATAGTGAAGTTGTCAATTCTGATCACTCAATTTTGTAATAACTCTTTGATATTAATTTCCATACTATCCTAATGCTACTAAAACAATGAATTGAAATCCTAATACTACTAAAACATGAATTATAAAATAAGAAATCAAAACAATAATTTTTTAATCAAAACAACAATTCTTATAACTACACCTCTATTAAATTATAACTTCTTCGTAGTAATAAACTTAGTTGGCCCTAACATTATGACTATAAAGAGGTTCTACTGTATAGTGAATGTTACATGCTGAGTGCTCATGCAAACTTTATTGCTAAGGGACATTTATATACTACAGATATGTAAAGAAATAAAACTTTATACGTAGATATGTATTTTTTTTTCTTCAAGTAATCCATTCAAAGTTTAATCATATAGTAGCATCAAAAACATGTTTGGGCACATATATTGAATAACATAAACATTATACATATGGAGAATAGTTGATGATTGATCATGTGTGATTTGACCGAACGATATTAATATAATAGTTAAACACCAAAGAGATAAGACCAAGTCTGTCATCCACTGTTTTCCTAATAAATAATACAAATTATTTTTGAAAGTTTTAAATTTTGTGAAGTAGTGGTATGAATATCATTATTGTCTTGATCGATAATTCATCCATGTTTTTGATGCAAATTTGTCAATATGAGTGAGTTTGAATTTGGGAGATAAGTTTTTAGCCATATAGTATCGTATTTTCTTGATCATGGCCATGAATAAACAGTTAAACTCAAGTTTTAGTCCAAGGGAAGCAAGAGAAAGATTGATTCCTGAGATTGATAGGCATCGAGTTAGATCTTATATAACGAACAATAAAGGAGTTTTAGCATGGTAATAGGATTAATTTGGCTGATGGTCAGGTTAATCAACATTTGTTGTGCTTGGTTATTGTAGATAGTAAAATCTACAGTTGATTCGAACAAGGTTGATCTTGTAAGGACGAGGCTATTGACAATCGTATAGACCTGTAAAGACAATGAAGGCAAACGTGAAGGCTCATGGGACACTGGTGTGGTCTAAAGTAGGCACTTCGACGTTCAAGGCTCAAGTCAACACGGTTGAAAGAAATATTTAAGTGAGGTTGAGAGCAGCAAAGAGTTTACCGTGAGTGTTTAGTTAGGGCAAGACTATAGTAAAGTGGCCGGATCACGACTTTACAAAAAGTAAAGTTAGTCGAAACTAAACTTTATGGTGGGGAAAGGCGGCAGTTCTTGAGAGTTGTTACAGATGTATATAACTTCCTAGATTATAGGGATCACACTGATATCCTGGATTATAGAGATCACATTGATATCTAGGATTATAGGGATCACATTGATCTTGTATCCTAATAGAAATTAATCTCCTACCTAGATTAGAACACTACAAGTGTTTATAAATATGTATTATTTTATTCTATGAATGAAAAAAAGAAGCGTGAATATTCATCCTTAATACATTTTTACATGGTATCAGATCCTTAAAAGGTAATTAGGGTTTGGGTTTCAAATTGGGAACACCTGTTTAGGGTAAGATTTGTTCGACACCGCCACCCTAGGGAGAATCAGAAGCCGTCGATCGGCAAAACCCCGAGTTCCGGTCATCAGAATCCCCGCGCATGAGCTCTATGCGCCACCCGAAACTCCAGTCAACAATACCACGCGCCAACGCATGAGAGCGCGTCCACTGTTGACATCTCCTCCGGTTCTCTTCGTCTGCTTCACCGGCACTTGTACAGCACATTTTCGTGCTGGATTGGGCAATCTCTTACTAGTTACTGTTGTCCTTTGTTTGGATATTTCTGCGGGTTTTGTTTTGTTTGGATATTTCTACGGAGTTAGTTGTGAGTTTTTTAGAACTTTATTTTCGTTTGGTTATTGGATTTTTTACTGTGCTTTGGTCTCTGGTTGGTGGTGGATGTTGATTGATTTGGTGTGTCACTGAAGTTTGGTTAATTTGCTTTGTTTTAACCGTTTGTTGGTGTGCATTAGGATTATAGGTTATTTAAGACATGTCTGATACAAAGCCAGTGATGGAGATGATACCGACGATGTCAAAAATTACAGAACATAAGCTCATGGGTATAACTAATTATCATGATTGGCGTAAAATTGTTATATTGTATTTGCGGAGTATTGATAAAGATGATCATATGACTGATGATCCACCTGAGGATGATTCGAAAAAGACATGGCTCCGGGATGATGCTCGATTGATTCTACAAATACGAAACTCTATTGACAGTGAGGTACTTGGCTTAATTAATCATTGTGATTTTATTAAAGAACTGATAAAGGGAATGTTTCTCATATTTATGAAGTGTGTAAGGCATTCTACCGTGCAGAGAAACAAGATAAGTCTCTTACAGCTTATTTTATGGAGTTTAAGAAAACTTATGAAGTGTTGAACATGTTGTTACCCTTCAGTGCTGATGTCAAAGTTCAACAAAAACAACGGGAGCAAATGGCAATCATGAGTTTTCTTGTAGGTCTTCCTTCTGAATTTGAGACTACTAAGTCTCAGGTTCTAGCAAGTCTAGAGATCTCTTCGTTGCAAGATGTCTTTAGTAGGGTACTTCGCACAGAAGGTACCCCTACCGGTTCAATTTAGTGGTGCTCTTGCCAGTCAAAAGAACAACTATGAATGTGGGCGATCACAATTTGGAAGTGGCAACAAAAGAGGAGGGTCAAATAGTAATATGGGAGGAATTGTGTGTCACTATTGCCATAAGCCAGGACACATGAAGCTTGATTGTAGAAAGCTTTAGAACAGAAATAAAAGAAATCTCTCTACCCATGTTGCATCCACCAATGATACATCTGATCAGTTAGTTCTTATCTCTGCAGATGT